TACGCTGCTGTCGTTATCCTATTTATGTATGTGTGTGTGTGTGTGTGTGTGTGTGTGTGTGTGTGTGTGTGTGTGTGTGTGTGTGTGTGTGTGTGTGTGTGTGTGTGTGTGTGTGTGATGTGCGTGCGTGCGTGTGTGTCCCATCCCACAACATAACCGCCCGACCCCTCTTTATGAATCCCATCTATCCCTCTGCAGTCTACGAACGACATCTCGAATCCCAGACACTTCCCAATCCGCTCATCCCCGACCTCCCCCCCCCCCCTCCCACCCCCACCCTTCTTCGGTGCTGCATGATGCACGACGACGATGGCTTGGCCGTGGAAGAGGAGCAACAGGCGATAACGAAGTACCATGCAGCGAGCGTTACACACAACAGCTGCTGCAAGATACAGGAAGCTGCACACAGACCTCGCGAGACAGTAACCAGTCACCAGACATAGAGAGACATGAGGGGCCCCCAGAGATAAATGAGTGAGACGAAGCCCCTCACATAATTCATGAGGGAGGGTTGAGGAATCAAGAGGAAGAGGAGGACGCTGATGGCAATATTGTGTTAACCAGGATTGAGCGTTACCATAATACCAAGTACCTTGTCGTGTAGCTGCCAGGGGAGGCGAAGACCCTGATCGCCCCGATACCAAAAGGTAGAAGTCGAGGGAAGAGTTTGGAACGTCGACCCGCCAGCTTACAGCGTGGATATACCAATCTGGTTATACCAACGAGCAAGCACTGTAACCTTTCTCGTGCCAATATGCATAATACAGCTGTATCAACTGAATTAGGAATGTCTTAGAGACCATACATAGGGTTAATATATCGCATAGAGAGAGACACACAGACACACCGGCTTGGAATTGACACCTTGTAAAATATAAAACTTCAATTGAAAAATTGTGTGTGTGTGTGTGTGTGTGTGTGTGTGTGTGTGTGTGTGTGTGTGTGTGTGTGTGTGTGTGTGTGTGTGTGTGTGTGTGTGTGTGTGTGTACTCACTTAATTGTGCTTGCGGGGGTCAAGCTCCGGCTCTTTGGTCCCGCCTCTCAACTGTCAATCAACTGATGTACAGGTTCCTGAGCCTACTAGGCTCTATCATATCTACATTTGAAACTGTGTATGGAGTCAGCCTCCACCACATCACTGCCTAATGCATTCCATCTGTTAACTACTCTGACACTGAAAAAGTTCTTTCTAACGTCCCTGTGGCTCATTTGGGTGTTCAGTTTCCACCTGTGTCTCCTTGTTCGCGGACCATTAGTGTTAAACAGTTTATCTTTATCTACCCTGTCAATTACTCTGAGAATTAGGTGGTGATCATGTCTTCCCTTACACTTCTGTCTTCTAGTGTCGTGAGGTGCATTTCTCGCAGACTTTCTTCGTAACTCATGCCTCTTAGTTCTGGGATTAGCCTAGTGGCATATATCTGAACTTTTTCAAGCTTCGTCTTGTGCTTGACAAGGTACGGGCTTCTTGCTTGGGCCGCATACTCCAGGATTGGTCTTACATATGGTATACAAGGTTCTGAATGATTCCTTACACAGGTTCCTGAAGGCAGGTCTGATGTTAGCCAGCCTCGCATACGCCGCAGATGTTATTCTTTTGAGGTGGGCTTCAGGAGACAGGGTTGGTGTGATATCAACTCCTGTCCGTTTCATGAACTTCATCTCCCATTCTGTACCCCTGTGTCTGGCCTCCTGTTTCCACTGCCTAGTTTCATTACCTTACATTTACTCTGGTTGAACTTTAGTAGCCATTTGTTGAACCATTCATGCAGTCTGACTAGGTCATCTTGTAGTCTCATACTGTCTTCCTCCGTCTTAATCCTCCTCATAATTTTTGCATCGTCAGCAAACAATGAGAGGAATGATTCTATACCATCTGGAAGATCATTTACATATATAAGAAACAGTATGGGTCCAAGGACTGAACCCTGCGGGACCCCGCTAGTGACGTCTCGCCAACCTGAGACCTCACCCCTCACAGTGACTCGCTGCCTTCTATTACTTAGGTACTCCCTTATCCAATGGAGTACCTTCCCTTTCCCTCCTGCCTGCATCTCCAGCTTTCTGGCAATCCAAAAATATGCAGTCTGCCCACCCCTCTCTTTCTTGTCTGATTCTTGTTGCCTGATCATAGAATTCAATTAATCTTGTGTGGATTAATTAACTTGCCATCCCTGAAACCATAGTGGTGTTGTAACACAAAGTTCTTTCGCTCCAGACTTGCTTTTTTCGCATAATTTTCTCCATTAGCTTGCATGGTATGCAAGGTAGGGACATTGGCGTGTAGGTCAGTGCCTCCTGTCTATCCCCCTTCTTGTATATCGGGACTACGTTTGCCGTCTTCCAAATTTCTGGCAGTTCACCTGTTACCAGTGATTTGTTATACACCATGAAGAGTGGCAGGCACAATGCTCCTGCTCCTTCTTTTAGTATCCATGGTGAGATTCCATCCGGCCCTATAGCCTTTCTGACATCCAACTCTAGCAAAAGCTTCCTTACATTTCCACTGGTAGTCTCAAATTCCTCTAGTGGTGCCTGGTTAATTATTCCTTCTCTTATCTCTGGAACTTCTCCTTGCTCTAATGTGAAGACTTCCTGGTATTTCTTATTGAGTTCCTCACACACTTTTTTTGTCGTTTGTAGTGAAACTGTCTGCCCCTATTCACAGTTTCATTACCTGTTCCTTCACTGTTGTCTTTCTCCTGATGTGGCTGTGCAGGATTTTTGGTTGGGTCTTAGCCTTGCTTGCTATGTCGTTTTTATATTGCATTTCGGCCTCTCTTCTCACCCTGACGTATTCATTCCTGGCTCTCTGGTAACCTTCTCTGCTCTCAAGTGTCCTGTTATTTCTATCGTTTCTCCATGCTCTTTTACTTGTTGCTTAGCTAGCTTACATCTCTGATTAAACCATGGGTTTCTCATCTGCATTTAATTTTTCACCTTTTGGGCTGGGATAAAATTTTCTGCTACCTCATTGCAATTCTGCGTGACGTATTCCATCATGTCTTGGGGCCGTCTTTTCCTTTAGCTCTGATTCCCAAGTTATATCCGTTAGGAATTTTCTTATCTCCTCGTAATTTCCCTTACGGATTGCCGGCCTTTTACTTTCAGTTCCCTTTGTCGAGTACTTTAGCCCTTCTTCGACCAGATACTCAAACGTCAGTACACTGTGATCGCTCATTCCTACTGAAGTTTCGAGGTCAGTTTCCCTTATGTCGGAGTCATTCAAAGTGAAGACTAGGTCGAGTCTTGCTGGTTCATAGTTTCCCCTCATCCTGAGGGGTTCCCTGACATGTTGGCTTAGAAAGTTTCTTGTCGCCACCTCAGCTATTTTGGCTCTCCATGTATCCTCTCCTCCGTGCGGTTCTTTGTTCTCCCAGTCTATCCTTCCGTGATTGAAGTCCCTCATGATGAGCAGATGGGATCAATTTCTACGGGCAGCAGAGGCTGCCCTCTCAATTATGTTATTAACTGCCATGTTGTTTCTGTCATACTCTTGCCTGGGTCTTCTGTTATTTGGTGGAGGGTTATATATCACTGCTACTACTACTCTTGGTCCTCCCATCGTCATGGTGCCTGTTATGTAGTCTCTAAACCCTTCACAGCCTTGGATAACCATCTCCTTGAAACGCCATTCCTTTCTCATGAGTAGGGTCACTCTGCCTCCTCCCCTACCCTCTCTCTCTTCCCTTATTACAGTGTAATCCTGGGGGAATACCGCATTTGTTATGAATATTCCTTAGAGTTTTGTTTCCGTGATTCCAATTACATCTGGGTTTACTTCTTGTGCTCTTTCCCGAAATTCACTCGTCTTGCTTATAATCCTATCTATGTTCGTGTACATCACCTTGAAGTTGACTCTTTTCTGTCCATCCACAGTTTGTGTTGATTCCACTAGAGTAGGTAAACATGGAGGGTTTGCGTTGGGGAGGGGGAAGGGGGGTCCTGGGTCGTGAGGGGAGCTGAGAGTGAGGGGGGACTTGGGTTGTGGGGGGTGCACACACACACACATACTTGTGTGTGTGTGTTTACTAGTTGTGTTTTTACGGGGGTTGAGCTTTGCTCTTTCGGCCCGCCTCTCAACTGTCAATCAACTGTTTACTAACTACTTTTTTTTTTTTTTTTTCTCCACACCACACACACACACACACCCCAGGAAGCAGCCCGTGACAGCTGACTAACTCCCAGGTACATATTTACTGCTAGGTAACAGGGGCATTCAGGGTGAAAGAAACTTTGCCCATTTGTTTCTGCCTCATGCGGGAATCGAACCCGCGCCACAGAATTACGAATCCTGCGCGCTATCCACCAGGCTACGAGGCCCCTGTGTGTGTGTGTGTGTGTGTGTGTGTGTGTGTGTGTGTGTGTGTGTGTGTGTGTGTGTGTGTGTGTGTGTGTGTGTGTGTGTGTGTGTGTGTGTGTGTGTGTGTCTGTGTCTGTGTGTTCAAGGAAGTCCAAGAACCTTCAGAACATAATGTGTTTCTCACAGTCGCTTGGCAGCAATCACTGAAACTTTTTGTGATGCCCGAGGTTACTGGCACTTGGAGTATCTACCGTTGCCTTACACTACCTACCCATCCCATCCTTTCTCGACCTATGGACGGGGTAGAAAACCAGGCAAGATGACACATGTCCATCTTCAACCCGTCCTGACAAGATCGGTCAGACCTCCATGCAGAGCCTCAAGAACACAATAGATGTTGGCGACCTTGCTGCTATATCCGTTCTTCAGGTTGCCTTCCTGCTCCACCCTTGTGGATAACCAGAAGACGGCAATTGTAACACGAGACGCTCAGTCAGCAGCTACTTCGCCCTCACTTGTGCAATTTTCGAGAACATCTCTCCATGAGAACTCACTAAGTGAAAGCCAGAACACCAGAACAAGAACTCTCATTAATAATGAACATACCAGAACAAAAAATCAAAACAGATAAATTTCAGTACGAACTGACATAGGAAATTAACTGTTAGCTTTCAGAATTCACAACTTTCTATTTCAGTACAAGTGTTTGTTAAAAATGTTAATGTTAATATGGAGAAACAGACGGAGCTACAGTGCCAACACTTGTCTTTTATGGTCACTGGTTCGAGACTCGCAGTTGGCAAGTTGTGCATTAAGCTCGTGGTTCCAATTGGTGGAACAATTTCGAGGGTTAGCAATTAGCAAATTCATTCCGATTCGGTGATTGGTGGCAAACCGTCGAGTTTCTGAATTGCAGATTAATTGCAAATTTGTTGGGAAGTGGATTAGTTCAGAGTTAATCAGTCAACTATGATTTGTTTTCGTGCTTGGAATTGAAGAATAGATGAAAGAATTTGCTAATTAGTTACGATCATTTATAATATTCTTGTTTTGCGTTCATTCAAGAGAATTATCATTGTTGAAGATTTTGTTACAATGGGTTTTGCGTTTAAAACGGAAATTACACTAAAGTATATTACAGGAATTATTATTATTATTATTATTTTTATTCGAATGCACAAAGAAATCATATTAACTGGGAGAACCCAGTGTGCAGGTTCGAATCCTTCTCATGGCCCCAACTTATTTTCTCATTATTATTATTATTATTATTATTATTATTATTATTATTTACGTCACAAGAGTAACTTTGAAGTTATAAAGCAAGAACTGCACTTTCTGTACAGTTGTCTGTAGTAATGTGGGGATTGTTTATTGTTATTGAATACTATTGTGAGTTATTAGCTTTACGTGTTATACTCACTCCTCATGTTAGACTGACACCTCATGTTATACTCACTCCCCATGTTATGCTCACTCCTCGTGTTATACTCTCTCATATTATACTCACTCCTCTTGTTATACTCTCATATTATACTCACTACTCATGTTATACTCACTCCTCATGTTAGACTGACACCTCATGTTATACTCACTCCTCATGTTAGACTGACACCTCATGTTATACTCACTCCCCATGTTATGCTCACTCCTCGTGTTATACTCTCTCATATTATACTCACTCCTCTTGTTATACTCTCATATTATACTCACTACTCATGTTATACTCACTCCTCATGTTAGACTGACACCTCATGTTATACTCACTCCTCATGTTAGACTGACACCTCATGTTATACTCACTCCTCATGTTATACTCACTCATGTTATACTCTCTCATATTATACTCACTACTCATGTTATACTCACTCCTCATGTTAGACTGACACCTCATGTTATACTTACTCCTCATGTTATACTCACTCATGTTATACTCACTACTCATGTTATACTCACTCCTCATGTTATACTCTCTCATATTATACTCACTACTCATGTTATACTTACTCCTCATGTTATACTCACTCATGTTATACTCACTACTCATGTTATACTCACTCCTCATTTTATACTCTCACATCATGTTATACTCACTCTTCATGTTATACTCTCTCATATTATACTCACTTCACGTTATACTCATTTCTCATGCTAGTCACTCATCTTTTACCCCTCACCCTGAGACACTAGAGAAGTAATTTGATAAATCCCAAGTTGTACAGTTTTGACCATGTGATGTGGTGGTCAAGGGCATGTGAATGGGAGTACCCAGTGTGCGGGTTCGAATCCTTTGCACGGCTCCTACTGATTTTCGCATTTAAATATGACGTTAATGAGATTTCATCGTGCAAAAATAATAATAAGAAGATTATTATATGAGGAATGAGGTTTACTATAGAATAATAATAATAATAATAATAATAATAATAATAATAATAATAATAATAACAATAATAATAATAATAATAATAATAATACACAGATAAATCATATTATCGAGCTATATCAATGAACAAATCCACAGGAGCCGTTATGAGGGCTCGAACTTAAGCGTCTGGGTGCTCCAAGACGCGCACTAGTCGACTGCGCTACGACATGGTCAAAAGAATTGCAACCTGGGGATACCACTGCACCCTTGAGGGTTCTGAGGTTTGCAGTGAAGCCTAACCGGGGTTTGACACAGTTTTCCCCTATGTTATAATGAGGGTTTGTGTGAAACCCTCGTAGGGTAGGAACACCCAGCGCATAGGTTCGAACCCTCATCACGGCTCTTGTGGATTTATTCAATAATAATCTATATAAATAAAACTGGAAATGTTCGTTTGTGCATGACTGCTAATCTCGGAAAGTTCTTCACCAATTGCTTTGAAATTTTGACACAACGTTCCATTCGAATAGGCGCGTGTTTTTATATATCTACTATATGGATGCCATACATGTGACAGGTAAACAAAATGTTTTCTTGAAAAACAGCGCCATCTGTTGCACGGAATAGCAACACACACACTATACTAAATATGTTACGGTTCCATTTCAATGTTTCCGATTGCATTGATAAATTTTATTTTCATAGATTTTGATTTATTTAATTTTTTATTGAATTATTTTGTGTGACATTGTGATGGAATTGAGCTGTGTTGTTTACCATACCATTCATTTCGTAAGTATAAGTATAGATGCCACACCTGTGACAGGTAAAATACGCTTTTCTTGAAAAACAGCGCCATCTGTTGCATGTAAGAGCAACACACATGCTATGCTAAATATGTTACAGTTCCATTTCAATGTTTTTGATTGCACTGATAAATTGAATTTTCATAGATTTTGATTATTTTCATTTTGATTTAATTATTTTGTGTGACATTGTGATGGAATTGATCTGTGTTGTGTACCATATTGTTCATTTTGTGAGTATAGTTTAGTTTTGTATTTTTTCATATTTTCATTTCATTTTAAACTGTTTTTCTTGTATTTCAGTGATGGGAACATCAGATCACTTGATGTTCCCAATTTTCTGATGGGAACGTCAGACCATTTGGGAAGGCATCGGACGAGGGAGTGGGGAATGGTGGGGAGGACGAGGGGACGGAAGTGAGAGATTGTGGGGAGGACGAGGGGACGGGAGTGGGTTATGGTGAGGGAAGGACGAGGGAACGGGAGAGTTTCGGATGGTGGGGACGAGAGGATGGGTGAATGGAGAATGGTGGGGAGGACAAAGGGACAGGAGAGTGGGGCATGGTGGGAAGGAAGAGTGGATGGTGGAGTGGGGAATGGTTGAGAGGCCGAGTAGACGGGTGAGGGGGGAATGGTTGAGAGGCCGAGGAGACGGGTGAGGGGGGAATGGTTGAGAGGCCGAGGAGACGGGTGAGGGGAGGAATGGTGGGGAGGACTGAGGGGACAGGGAAGGTTGCTGTGCTGAGCCACACCAATACACATGCGTTGCTGAGCCACAGCAACGCGTGGCCGGGTACTGCTAGTAATAATAATAATAATAATTATAATAAAAATTGATATATTCGAGCCAAGGGTGTACAGGTACACTCTCCTACACAGAGGTGTGGCCGGTCTACGAAGTTCAACTATTGCATATCCCACCATTAAGCTCCTGTGTAAGACTCTCCCTCAGGAATTATCCACCAAACAAGAGGTAACTACCACTTTGGATCTTCCCTTTGTAAGAAGAGAGACAATTTCGACTCTCTCTTACCGCCCAAAATAGCCACAATTATGGCGCGCATTTTGGCAATAGGGCGGTGAGGTTGGCCGCCCACCCAACAGGTTGGTTGACCGCCCACCCAACAGGTTGGTTGACCGCCCACCCAACAGTGTGGTTGACCGCCCACCCAACAGGTTGGTTGACCGCCCACCCAACAGGTTGGTTGACCGACCACCCAACAGGTTGGTTGGCCGCCCACCCAACAGGTTGGTTGACCGCCCACCCAACAGGTTGGTTGACCGCCCACCCAACAGGTTGGTTGGCCGCCCACCCAACAGGTTGGTTGGCCGCCCACCCAACAGGTTGGTTGACCGCCCACCCAACAGGTTGGTTGACCGCCCACCCAACAGGTTGGTTGACCGCCCACCCAACAGGTTGGTTGACCGCCCACCCAACAGGTTGGTTGACCGCCCACCCAACAGGTTGGTTGACCGACCACCCAACAGGTTGGTTGACCGCCCACCCAACAGGTTGGTTGACCGCCCACCCAACAGGTTGGTTGACCGACCACCCAACAGGTTGGTTGACCGACCACCCAACAGGTTGGTTGACCGCCCACCCAACAGGTTGGTTGACCGCCCACCCAACAGGTTGGTTGAAAGCCCACCCAACAGGTTGGTTGACCGCCCAACCAACAGGCTGGTTGACCGCCCACCCAACAGGTTGGTTGACCGCCCACCCAACAGGTTGGTTGACCGCCCACCCAACAGGTTGGTTGAAAGCCCACCCAACAGTGTGGTTGACCGCCCACCCAACAGGTTGGTTGACCGCCCACCCAACAGGTTGGTTGACCGCCCACCCAACAGTGTGGTTGACCGCCCACCCAACAGGTTGGTTGAAAGCCCACCCAACACGTTGGTTGACCGCCCACCCAACACGTTGGTTGACCGCCCACCCAACAGGTTGGTTGACCGCCCACCCAACAGTGTGGTTGACCGCCCACCCAACAGGCTGGTTGACCGCCCACCCAACAGGTTGGTTGACCGACCACCCAACAGGTTGGTTGACCGACCACCCAACAGGTTGGTTGACCGCCCACCCAACAGGTTGGTTGACCGCCCACCCAACAGGTTGGTTGAAAGCCCACCCAACACGTTGGTTGACCGCCCACCCAACAGGTTGGTTGACCGACCACCCAACAGGCTGGTTGACCGCCCACCCAACAGGCTGGTTGACCGCCCACCCAACAGGCTGGTTGACCGCCCACCCAACACGTTGGTTGACAGCCCACCCAACAAGTTGGTTGACCGCCCACCCAACAGGTTGGTTGACCGCCCACCCAACAGGTTGGTTGACAGCCCACCCAACAAGTTGGTTGACCGCCCACCCAACAGGTTGGTTGGCCGCCCACCCAACAGGCTGGTTGACCGCCCACCCAACAGGTTGGTTGACCGCCCACCCAACAGGTTGCTTGACCGCCCACCCAACAGGTTGCTTGACCGCCCACCCAACAGGTTGCTTGACCGCCCACCCAACAGTGTGGTTGACCGCCCACCCAACAGGTTGGTTGACCACCCACCCAACAGGTTGGTTGACCGCCCACCCAACAGGTTGGTTGACCGCCCACCCAACATGGGCAGCCAACCACTTTAGCAACTTGAAAACCTTGTAAATACAAAACTAGAGAAACACAATGCTATTCAACAATAATAATAAGATTAATAAAACAATAAAAATAATAATAATAATAATTAATATCAACATGCCATAATAACAGATCAGTATAGGCGATCCTCTCACCAACTGGGAACCTAAAGTGACCCTTAATTGAAAATTATTGCAAGCCTCTTCTGCTTTCTAATGGGAAAAATGTCTTTTCTAGTTCCTTAATTTAAACTGAGCGGGAGGGAGGGAGAGTTGGAGGGAAGGAGAGAGAGAGAGGGGGAGAGAGAGAGAGAGAGAGAGAGAGAGAGAGAGAGAGAGAGAGAGAGAGAGAGAGAGAGAGAGAGAGAGAGAGAGAGAGAGAGAGAGAGAGAGAGAGATGGATAAGGAAGGAAAGGCAAAGAGGAATAAACAAGAGGGTCAAGAGGTATATGAATACAAGAGGAGGGGAAGCTAAACAACCCGCCCCTGTCAATTGCACATCGCATTTTGACGTATAATTTACCTGAGAGCAAAAACTGCTGTCAAAAGATGGCAGCGGCTCAGGAAATTGAGGTGATGTCCCGTTTTCTGATCGCGTGTCCTCGGGTTGGTTAGGTTCGGGTACTTTTAGTACATCTGTTTAGTGACGTTGTGAGCGATCAGGCGGACGGGCTGAATAAAGAGGACAGAAAGGGTGGAGAACTGGTAATTATTGGGAAAGAGAAAGAGAGAAGGAATAGATAAAGAAAAACTGGAAAAGAGACGAAGGAAAAGATAAAGACAAAAAGGGGGGGGGACTGAAGAGAGATGGGGAAGCATTCAACGTTAACCTATATATTATATATATATATATATATATATATATATATATATATATATATATATATATATATATATATATATATATATATATATATATATATATATATTTTCTTAGCATCAGGGCTTAATTGAAATAGGAGTTCTCCAAAACTCATTTTCGTACTTTTAAGGTGAAGAAAAGAAGTGATTTACTATAGAGTGTATTACACTTATTTGTATAATTTGCACGACGTTTCGAACCTCCATGGTTCACCTGACCTAATCACCTGACCTAATGCGGGTATAAAATCAACTAGTATTGTAAGATCTGTTCACTTGAGAATGAACCATGGAGGTTCGAAACGTCGTGCAAATTGTACAAATAAGTGTAATACACTCTATAGTAAATCACTTCTTTTCTTCACCTTAAAAGTACGAAAATGAGTTTTGGAGAACTCCTATTTCAATTAAGCCCTGATGCTAAGAAAATAGTTAGAGGGATAGAAGCCCTAAACCAGAAAATAATAAATACAGAATATGCGGTCATATTCAATGAAACATGTTTGAAAGAAAACCTGCTGCCAGTATACACCAATATATATATATATATATATATATATATATATATATATATATATATATATATATATATATATATATATATATGTCTATATAGTTTGTATTGCAGGCCTATATAGTCTGTACTAAGACCTATACAGTGTGCACAAATCTACTAATTATTATTTTAATGTACATGGATTTCGAGCGGGAAGATCGTGCCTCTCACAGCTACTTGATCACTACGACAAAGTCACTGAGGCATTAGAAGAATAACAGAATGCTGATGTGATATACACGGACTTCGCAAAGGCTTTCGATAAATGTGACCATGGCGTGATAGAACACAAAAGGAGGTCAATGGGAATAACCGGTAAAGTAGGACGCTGGATACTCAGATTTCTGTCAAACAGGACTCAGTGAGTAACAGTCAATCATAAAAAATCGAGTCCAAGCGCAGTTGAAAGCTCTGTACCTCAGGGTATAGTCCTTGCACCGCTGCTTTTCCTTATTCTCATATCAGATATAGACAAAAATACAAGTCATAGCTTCGTATCATCCTTTGCAGATGACACAAAAATCAGCATGAAAATTACCTCGGCTGAAGACATTGAAAAACTTCAAGCAGATATTAATAAAGTTTTCGACTAGGCAACAGAAAATAACACGATGTTTAACAGTGATAAATTTCAGGTATTCAGGTACGGTAAAAATGAGGACCTTAAACATAATACAGGGTACAAAACACAATCAAATGTGCCCATAGTAAGTAAGCAACATATAAAGGATTTGGGAATAATGATGTCTGACGACTTAACATTTAGGGAACATAACCAAGCAAATATTGAGTCAGCCAGAAAAATGATTGTATAGATTACGAGAACTTTAAAATCCAGGGATCCCATCACAATAGTTGTACTATACATATCACTTGTACTGTCTCGTCTTGAGTACTGCTCAGTACTCACTTCCCCCTTCAGAGCAGAAATAGATTGCTGAAATAGAGGGAATACAGAGAACATATACGGCATACATAGACGCAATAAAGTACCTAAATTATTGGGATCGTCTCAAAGCCCTCCAAATGTACTCACTGGAAAGAAGACGATAGAAGTAAAATAATATACACGTGGAAGATACTGGAGGGCCAAGTACCGAATCTACACAGTAAAATAACAACATACTGGAGTGAACGATAGGGAAGAAAATGCAGAATTGAAACAGTGAAGAGCAGGGGTGCCATAGGCACAATCAGAGAACACTGTATAAACATCAGAGGTCCGCGGTTGTTCAACGTCCTCCCAGCAAGCATAAGAAATATTGCCGGAACAACCGTGGACATCTTCTCTTGAGGTTATCTTGAGATGATTTCGGGGCTTTAGTGTCCCCGCGGCCCGGTCCTCGACCAGACCTCCACCCCCAGGAAGCAGCCCGTGACAGCTGACTAACACCCAGGTACCTATTTACTGCTAGGTAACAGGAGCATCAGGGTGAAAGAAACTCTGCCCATCGTTTCTCGCCAGCGCCCGGGATCGAACCCGGGACCACAGGATAACGCGTCCAGTGTTCTGTCCGCTCAGCCACCGGCTCCCTCTAGGTGTACATAATTATCATTATCTTTATCTTCAAGAGAAAACTAGATCATTTTCTCCAAGGAGTGCCGGACCAACCGGGCTGTGGTGGGTATGTGGGCCTGCGGGCCGCTCCAAGCAACAGCCTGGTGGACCAAACTCTCACAAGTCAAACCTGGCCTCGGGCCGGGCTTGGGGAGTAGAAGAACTCCCAGAACCCCATCAACCAGGTATCAACCAGGTATCAACCAGGTATCAACCAGGTATCAACCAGGTATCAACCAGGTATCAAGCAACCAGGCATTATTATCATTGAAATTGAAATTAAATGTTTGTCGCAAAATACTTTTCTTAAAGTGTATTATTTATGACGTCAGTGTATCAGTTCAACGGACCCTTAGTTGTTATCACGTCAGTGTATCTGTTCAACGGAACCTTAGTTGTTAACACGTCAGTGTATCTGTTCAACGGAACCTTAGTTGTTATCACGTCAGTGTATCTGTTCAACGGAACCTTAGTTGTTATCACGTCAGTGTATCAGTTCAACGGACCCTTAGTTGTTATCACGTCAGTGTATCTGTTCAACGGACCCTTAGTTGTTATCACGTCAGTGTATCTGTTCAACGGAACCTTAGTTGTTATCACGTCAGTGTATCTGTTCAACGGACCCTTAGTTGTTATCACGTCAGTGTATCTGTTCAACGGAACCTTAGTTGTTATCACGTCAGTGTATCTGTTCAACGGACCCTTAGTTGTTATCACGTCAGTGTATCTGTTCAACGGAACCTTAGTTGTTATCACGTCAGTGTATCTGTTCAACGGAACCTTAGTTGTTAACACGTCAGTGTATCTGTTCAACGGACCCTTAGTTGTTATCACGTCAGTGTATCTGTTTATGAACCAAATAATCATCATTACAGAGCTGTTATTCATCATTCATCACATTCACTTTTCTTATATTTTTTTTTTAAATTTTCACTCATCTTTGTCCAGGTTTACTTAATTATCATTAATTTGCAGAATTAAGTTCTTCTAAACTTTTCTTATATTTTTATATAATTTGGTAACTGCCTGTTATTCTGAATTGTGTTATAATGATTATTGAAAATAATTATATATTCATTGAATCCTCCCAATTCCAGAACAAACCAAGGACGTCGTATTGTGGCCGTAGATCTTACAGCAGCCTAAAGTGATAAAAAAATGCTCTCAACTGAACATAACTTAAATGTTGTCTACCTGCCATAATGAAATCTACCTGTGAAGAATATCCATCTTTCTTTCTATATATATATATATATATATATATATATATATATATATATATATATATATATATATATATATATATATATGTCGTACCTAGTAGCCAGAACGCACTTCTCAGCCTACTATGCAAGGCCCGATTTGCCTAATAAGCCAAGTTTTCATGAATTAATTGTTTTTCGACTACCTAACCTACCTAACCTAACCTAACCTAACTTTTTCGGCTACCTAACCTAACCTAACCTACAAAGATAGGTTAGGTTAGGTTAGGTAGGGTTGGTTAGGTTCGGTCATATATCTACGTTAATTTTAACTCCAATAAAAAAAATTGACCTCATACATAATGAAATGGGTAGCTTTATCATTTCATAATAAAAAAAACTTAGAGAAAATATATTAATTCAGGAGAACTTGGCTTATTAGGCAATTTGGGCCTTGCATAGTAGGCTGAAAAGTGCGTTCTGGCTACTAGGTACGACTATATATATATATATATATATATATATATATATATATATATATATATATATATATTGATCGATCCCTCATCATATATATATATATATATATATATATATATATATATATATATATATATATATATATATATATATATATATCGATCCCTCATCATATATATATATATATATATATATATATATATATATATATATATATATATATATATATATATATATATATATATATATATATACACACACACACTCAAGTACCATGCACACTATCACCAAGAGAGCTAACGAGAATCTTGTTCTTCTTAAAACTGTAAAACTTGAAACAATCTCCTCCACT